GTCATTTCTAGTTATTTTAGCAAGAATCTCATTAAATTTGTCCAAAAAGTCCCGAGTGTTATAATTAGGCGGACGATAAACAGTACCAACTATAATATTTTTCCCATTGGGAATGTTAATTTCAACAAAAAGAGTTTCGATCACTTCAGGTTCAGAATAATTACAATCGCGGCATAATTTGTATTCTAAATCGTCAAGTAAATAAAGACCTGCTCCACCGGCGGACTTGCTATCGCGGTGGTTCGAAATAAATTTATATCCAGGTATTTCCACCTGGTCCGACGTAAGCTCAGTTAGCCAGGTTTCCGATACGCATATGGCAGAAAATGGATTTTGCAAATGACTAAGCAGGAATTTAAATTTATCTAAATGACCGATTAGGCTTCGTGTATTAATATGAAATACAGAGAAACAAGGAGAATTTGAACTATTAGTTAGCTTAGCATTAATTTCATCCTCAGTATAATAATTACTAGGAGGAGGAGAAAAAGTAAACTGTTGATCTGGATCTAACTCATTAAAGAAAAACTGATTAGAGACAGACGAATTATCAATTGGGTTGTACAAAAGAGAGCTTAATCGTTCGCTATCATAATGTAGAGGTCCATGCGTCATTTCATATAAAGCAATATTAAAATCGTTATTGCCTAAATGAGAAAAAGGGAGCTCAGGCTCAGGGAGCTCAGAGTCAGAAGCCATTTGGCTTCACTGGCTAATAATTAACTGTCAATGTATATAGCCCGATACTTAGCTTTGTCTTGAGTTCTTGAACTCCTCAAAATTTGCCATAGACATAAAAGAATAGACTTGGGATGCTGGGTTATCATCTTTACGCAACAAAACTTTGCCATTCTTTGTCCAGGCAAACTTGAAGTGATTTACCCTCTTGAACTCTTTAACCTTAGCCAAAAGCTCGCGGTTCTTCTGGGTCAAGCTCTCGTTGATATACAAGTCAAACTCTTCGGTAAAACCAAGATCCATAGCTGTCTTACTCCTTATCTCTCTCTTTCTGCTCAACAAACGGTCACGGACATTACGACGACAGAACTTTACAATTATTGGAGGGGCATTTCGGCCTTCTCTTCTTGGCAGACGATGGCTGATAGAAATGTCGGCCAACGAGATCTCAAGCTCAGGATCAACCAACTCCACAAGCTTACACACAAGATCGTCTGTTTCTTCATCAGGTCGCGTAGGCACGCCATGTATTTCCATATCACGACGAAGATACTGCTTTAATGCCTCGCTGTCGTTTTCGACTTCCTCCAGCTTAATTTCGCACTGTTTAAGCTGCCCTTTCAGGGCATCTACTTCTGATCTCAGGCGCCGGTTCTCCGAAGTTAGATCTTCAGTTGCCTTCTTAGCCTTTTCGAATTTGGCGTCAACAAAAGCTTGGCTTCGTTTAATTTCGTCTATATCATCTTTGTAAAGCTTGAAGTACTTAAGCATCATATCGTGAATAGACTCAGATTGCTCCTTCAACCGTCTTGTCAGAATTACTTCAAAATCCTGAAGACCGGCGGCCATGTTTATTGCTTCGTTGCCATCCCGGAAAGACACACTTTCTTCGGTTTCGGATAATTCCGCTTGTTCTGCTGCCGTCTGATTAGCAGATTGATTTGACGGCTTCTTTTGGCCTTTTTTTGATTTACCTGACATGTTTTAGAACGTTTAGAACTCAAAGAAATGGGGAGCTCAGAAAAATACGTCTCACCCGTCCGTCACCACGTGCCAGTTGATGCGGGATTTGGAAGAATGATGAAGCAAAAGATTGGAGAGGCAATGCAGATGTGGTTAGAGAAAGAGGAAAACCTGGAAATGTGGCACAACAAGATCTCAGCGAAAAACAGAAGGATCTTAATGACACAGTGGACAGGGCATGCATGGAGAGAACTGGTCTCCAAGCCAGATTTCATCAGGAAACTCTTCGAGAAAACTGGCTGTCTGATTACGGCTGATGGTTCTCAGGATGAGAAGATAAGGCCACAGGGACTTGATGCATATACCTTTTAATGTAAATTCTGGACACTTCAAGAGCTCCTTGGAATATGGACAGGATATGAACTATGTGTGGTGTACTAGAGAGAATATATAGTACATTTTTCAGTGGGAGTTTATCATCAACTCAATTTGTTTCTGTTACAGACCTGCAGTTTTTCTATATTGACAGTTCTATAGCTGGGAACATATGTTGTGGTTCAATGTTCAAATCAGTTTGATTTTTTGAAACTGCTTTATTTTTTTGAAACTGGTTTTATTTTTTTGAAACTGGTTTGTTCTTGATTATAAGCATTTATTCTATAAAATACTGTAACAGTTTATAATGAAGAACAAACCATATATTATACTACAGTATTTTCTACTCCGTAAAAATTAAGAACCTAATTAAGAACCTACTTAGCCTAAAATGCCAGTAAGTACCCCAAAATATAAGAACCTGTTTTGCCAAACTCTAAAAAAGTACGTTCTTACACGCGGGTTTTTACTGTATCCTCTTTAGTTGTCGGAGACTTAAAAAACAGCCATGCAATGATCCCAAGAACAGCAAGATCTCACTATAGCCAAGGCCCAAATGAAAGTAGCGTTCAATAAGATCCCCACGTTCAACATTCAAATGTGGCGTGTAGGTAGGCAAAACCCCCGTGCACGTGGAAAATGATATCAAAAGCAAAAATAACAAAAAACGACATTTCAAACATCCTGTGGCCACCATGTTGAACTTTCTGATGAAATGAAACTGCGATAGCTCAGCAGTGACCTGTAATGTTGAGTAAAAAAAGTCGTGCCGAAAACAAGAAGTCGTGCCAAAAAGAAAAAGTCGTGCCGAAAAAAAAAAGTCGTGCCAAAAAAAAAGAGTCGTGCCGAAAAGAAAAAGTCGTGCCGAAAAGAAAAAGTCGTGCTGAAAGAAAAGAGTCGTGCCCCCTCAAAAAAAGTCGTGCAACCACCAAAAAAAGTCGTGCCAGAGAAAACTGATGTCGTGAAAAAGAAACTTGACGAGAACATTAGGTGGCACTAACTGGGCACCGTAACTACATGTAGCTCAAGGAACTAGAAAAAGACTGAAAAATCTTGTCACTAAAGCAATTGCCCAGATTGCTCAAAATTGACCTATTATAGATAATTATCCTGCAATCAACAATATTAGAGAACCCACAGGTAGTCAATCTTGTAATCCCAAATCTATGTATACCATTCTTGAGAAGTTTTTTTGTAAACATCCCGCAATTGCAGCCAGTCCTACAACTATCTACCACTCTCTCAAAGGTTGGGAAATTGTATCTGTTCCAAATGGTGTCTCTAGCCCTGCAGAAATGTACAAGCATTCTCAGTCCTACTCATCATTCTCAGTCCTACTCATAATGCCTATTTTGATCAGGGACTGCTTTTTCAACCAGAGCTAGAAAGGCATCCCTTGTCATCACATCAGTACTGCCATTAGGACTCCATCAGAACCATGCATCAAATGCAGGATGTCCACTTAGTTCATTTTGCAGAGTTAACTCTCACAAGAAAGGATGACTTTGACACAACTCTTCCTTCTTCCTCAACGTGGTTATTGGCCTGCACAATTGTACTGTGTGTGTAGCAATAAGCATAACACTGTTATTTTAAAATGACCAAGGAGGAAGACGCAAGGACCAGAATAACAAAGATGAAATCTCATAGAGACGATAGTTAAAGAAGGCTTCCCAGTTTGCAAAGGAGCTGTCGGAGGGCACAATTTCCACTGAGCACTAGTGCCAAGCCTTATTAAGTCAGACCACAAGCCACCATGTAAACAGCAAAGTAGTCAGTGGTCAGTGGTCAGTGATGATGATGGCCGCGTCTTTTGAAGCTGGCTAGTTTAGTGTTATTTGTTGCCTTTTTTGTGTTTAAATAATTTATTTTTTCGTGTAAGAGTTCCTGTTGGTGTCTTTTAATTGAATATGTCGCATTAAATCATCGAAAATCCTGCCGGAAAAGGCACAAAAAATATTATCTTGCTCAATATTGACTTGTGTACGTGTGCGTGTGCTTGCGTGTTTGTGCTTTAATGAATAACAAAGCTTTAATAGAATAAGGTCAATCTTGTTAAAGGGCCATAATTAGATACTACAATGTGCCCTTCTCCATTCATTATTTTTTCTTATGTACACGTAGTTTAAACAACCTTGTAATAATTAACTTTGTGCAACTAGTGTATTATCTATAGGATCGAGTAAAAATAAAATACAAAGTCATTTTGAAATCCAACTTAGATGACCTAAATTCCTCAGCGACCAATGATTCAAGGAAAGAACGCAAGGAAACCATTTTGGAAAAGAAAATCTAGAAGTAAACAGTTTCACGAGGCACTTAAAATGGCAAAACACACCCATGTAAATTTCCTGTAGATCTACCAAGTCAGTGATGAAAAGAAAGTTTTGAGGTAGATCATTGTGATCACGTGAGGCTAGTAGAAACTGCTAAAATTGTTTCATGTTACTGTTCCTTTGCATCTGGCCAGGATCTATGGTTGCATGTTATTTGGGTGTTAATTAATGTTCTAAAGGTCAACGAAAATGATCAGTTGTTACACCAAAAGTCACGCTGAATTGGAACTATTCGAGGACTCTTTCTCCAGGTGGTACCATAGCCAGTGCCAAAAAGGATATGGCACATCATGTCTCCATCACATGCATTTCCCGTTGAAGGCACTGGCTCACATAACAAAAGCAACTGCTATACCAGGGACCACAAAGCCAGCATCATCTCCAGACGTTAAGACTCGGAACAGTGTGGCGGTTAATTTGTAAAGGTCACCTGATGCCAGTGTGACAGCTCAGAGAACAGAAGCAAAAGGTATGGCAGCAACTACAAACCTAGCGTCAGTCTTCCAGCATCGGAATAGCATGTCACTCAGGTTGCAAGGAAACAATTAAGATAGCGAACGGTAAAGGTGAAATACAAAGTGCTCCAACAAAGTGGCCCATTAGAGATGTTCCTGTTACCCCAGAGAAATTTGGGCAAATCCCCATGAGGAAGCAATCCAAAAACGCAAACGATGAGCCAAACAGCGATCCTACCAGAGTCTATCAGATTCTGTAAAATCTGAGATCATGGATGCAATTAACTCAGTGCTGGATTGTAAGCTAGACCAGCTGGCAGCTCGGCTAGAAAATATGATGTCTGAAGATTTAAGAGCTACAGAAAAAGTTCAAAAAAATGTACAGGGTGAAGTCAAGAAACTTAAGGAAGATGTAGATGACGGCATTAACCATGTAGAATTCATTTTAAAGCGAGACATTGACTATGCTTGGGAGTACGCTGTTAAAAACGAACAGTACTTTCGCTAAAACTGTTGGAATAGATATGATCATTTATGCGGTTCAATTAACATTTCTGATTGGCTAATTTCAACAATGAACTTTTGACAGGTGTTTGACTTAGTTATGTTCTGTTCTGTTTTTCTCTCGCTATGTGAAGTGTAACAGCGAATTTTTAAGGAATAAATGTCCTAAAGGTAGCCAATGGACTGAGTCATTCTAACAAAAACAACAATGGGTTAGAATAAGAGGAACGCAAGACTCTAGAGCAGAAATTTGTTCAGTTTGTACAGGTAAATATGCTTGAAGAAATCCGTCCGGAGGAAATAGAAATAATTCGCAGAATTGGTCCAAAGATACGCTCAAGATACGCCCTTGGAGATCAAGGGTCTAGGCCCAGCAAAAGGAAACAGCATGTCTCTGTCAAGTTTCTTTCACATAAAAGTAAAATGAGGATTTTACTCAGACGACGGTTATTGAGAGGAAAGGGGATCTTGATCAGTGAGGATATGGCAAATGACAAGGCCATGCGTGGTTTTTTAACGGTAGAGTTTTAAACAATAAATTGAAAGACCCACAGGTAAAGGAATTACGTGACTGGTGTGACCTAAGAAACATTAAATAAGATACAATGGGCAGAGAGGCAATATCACGATTGTATAAATGCCTAAAAAAGCAGTTCCACACTAGATAATTCATTACCACTTTCCCAACAGAGTAATAACGAATTCTGTAATTATTTAGCAGAATATTCTAGAGTAGAACTAGATGATATTCGCATTGGGAAATTGCGAAACCTGATCTTTAACCCTTTTGTATCAAATAATCGTGGAAAATCATATTTAAAACTAAATTCTGATCTAAATCCTTATTATAATTACCAGAACACACTTATAAATTATATTGATGCTTGATACTACCATGATGAGGATACTTTTAAGCAATTGATAAGTGATAACTTCAGCGCGTCTCCGAGTTCCTAGCAGTCAACTCCCTTGCGTTTTAAAAATAGTTTTTTCAATACGCTATTTTTCAAATATAGAGTAGCTATTTAATGTAATGTGGATCTTGAATGTTTGATTCAATGCTTCCACATGGAATTTTTTAAGCCTTGTAATTCTTTCTATTTTTAATGTAAGTGTTCTTGGTTTTAGCGTGTATTTTTGCTTAAAAAACAATAAAGACCTTTTATATAGTTATGATTCTACAAATACTGATTTCTTAATCGTGCACCTAAATATCTAGATTCCTTGAAAAATGAGTTTTCGGTTATTGGGTAATCAGAAACTTGACTAAATTGCGATAATGTACATAATCTTCCACTAATAATCATAAGACAGGTGTTATGAATTAATCCGTTGCCTATAACAATGCATCTCCTAAATTCCCTGAAGGATAGATTTATATTCGAGTGTGATATTTAAACTCAGTTTTCGCTAGCAGTTGTGATGAAGAGAATAATATAGATATAGAAACCGAAGACCTAGAGACAATTCAGGCTAGTGTAAGTAGATTTTTCCGAGATTTTCCATCCTTGGAGCGAGTTTCTCATTAGGGTATTTGGCCTTTTTCTCTTTACAACGAATCACTCTGTTAATGCTCGTAATGTAGAAGTAAAAAGGGGTGAGCCCGATTTTCGATACGTGAATGGCGAATAAACTTGTATTGTTAGAACAACTGTGACACTGAGTACCTCATTCGTACTAATTTTCGCGGGCACTTAATTTCGCGAATTTGGAACACGAATATTTCGCGAGCATTAATTTCCGCGATTTTCCAAAAAATGATAAATTTAGGGCATTTAATTTCGCGAAAATTGACTAAAGACAGACTTAGAAAACTGTTTTTTTTATTGATTGATCACTTAAATAACGATTGATTTACAATCATGATTTGCAATTACGTAAAAGAAATAGCGTTGATAATCAGACAAAACAAGCAAATACTGCAAATCAATCACATGCTACTGCAATATTGTACTAATAAAAGTCAATTGTAAAAATATAATTTCAAATACCTATGCCAAACAATTCTGTAATGATTATAAATGCTTAACACCCTTGAAACAGAACAAAACTATAGATGAATAATAATCAAATACAATTTAAGTGTGTCTTCCGAGACAGCCTTGTGCAATGTCTATATTATTACTGTGGTGCACTGTCTATATCTTTAAATGGGTCCTCAGACGGAAGGGATGTTTCACCCCTAGCCACCCCAGCTACACCTGCTCTTTCATGAGATGGCGTTTCCCGTCGCTGCTTGTCAAATGGTTATACAAGCTGACAAGCCAAGTGGCATGCAAGGGCTTCAAAACGGATAATCTCAGATCAACTTCCATGTCGTCATCATTCCCTGTTGCTTCCATTTGCTTTTGTATTTCTGCTGAATACCACATAGTGAACGGGTCTTTGATGAAGCGCTTTGCCTCTCCATTTACAGTAAGATCAAGAGGCTGAAAGAAATGCGTCATGTTGGCAGGGACTGAAACAACCTCGATATTCAGAGATGCTAACTTTGACAAAACCTTGTCGGTTTTCTGGCCTTTGAACACATCCCAGATGAGCAGCGCTTTTTGAGTTGGCTGTAGTTTCAGCTCCTTCCGTTTTAGATCTACATAAGGTTTGATCACTATATCTATCAGGCTTAATGTTTCCGTCTCATTTGAATAGTGTTTTGGATTCTGCGAGACCAAAAATCCCTTCGGAAACTGGAAATTCCTTAGCTGGCTTGCTGTGGTTTTCCCTTGGTATATTATTTGCATTGGCAAAAAGTTGCCCGAGAAAGATATAACAAGAGTAAGTGTAATACTTCTCTTGTCAGTGAGGCCTTTTATTGGTACAGAAGAAGAATTTCTCGGAGCCATTGTCATTTTCCTTACCGAGACATATGAGCAAGGAGTTTGGTCAGCATTTAGCACTAATTCAGGAGGAATCTTATGTTCATTGATTGTCTTGTCTATGTCGCTAAGGAACGTGAGCTTGCATTCCTCAAACAGTCCTTGAGGCACTGGGGGGCGAGTGGTAGTTCCAGCTCTTCGTGACAAGCCACATCGTCGATAAAAAGACCTAACCCAGGTCGTTGTGGGCTGAAACCCTGTCACACTACTTGAAGGATCGCTTTTAACAAGCGCCAATGCAGTTGCTTTCACCACTGAGAAATTAATTACTCCTCCTCTACTTCGTATGCTTTTAAGGAGTGAAATTAATTTTGCGTCTAGTTCAAGGAGTATAGGTGGGCGGCCACGTGTATCACTTGGAATAGCAAGAACTTGAGCTTCCACATTTCTTTTCTTTGTCACCTCTTCGAGCTTCCTCTCATATGCTTGCTTAAAACTTCGCACTGTGCTTTCCTTCAAATTTGGTACTTCTGCCTTGAATTTTTTTAACGCTTTCGAATTGCCATTTTCGCTGGCATACTTTCCAATCTTAGCACGTATTTCGGGTGAATAGTGGTTGTAATTCCCTCTCTTTCTTGCTCTAGCTGAGGAACTCTTCTCGCCATCATGATCATCTACTAATGTTCCTACAACAGATACAACGTTTTGATACTCAACAGTACCAAGAGATGTGTTTTCTTGACTTTGAAAAGAAGCAGGAATTGAAGGCACAGTGTCGCAATTTACTGAATCTAATTGGCTGTTATTTTGAACTGTAAAGCCGTAGCGAAATAATGCCATCTTGTGACTATTAAAGCCAAGTAGTTGCGTAAAAACTAAAAACGCTTTTACCGGCCGGAACATGACACACCTTGTGGGCAAGGCAGCTTTCGTTCCTCACGCAATCCAGTAGGATAAATAATAGAACAATACTGAATGCTAAATTCATGATTGAATGTTCCCTTGTTCTAACAGTTAGCACAAACGCTATTCATGTCTGTATTTTAGCTTCTATCTTGCTGTGTAATCTAGCGAAATATCTTAGCTTCTCTTCGATTGGCCCATATATTTGTTAGTCCCATTCATGGCTGACAAGCTCGCCACGTTGCGTCTATTTAGCTTATAGTACAGCTGCATCTATTGGTCGAACTTTGAGAAACTGTCTTGTCACAAAGGTCACGTTCAAACGTCACTTGATTGTAATCATATGTTCTCTGTTATGGCAAACAACGAAATAGAGGCTACTGTTACATATTCTTTTCTGTGTGGTATTCGTGGATTTCACGTCTACAAAGAAGTTTGGAAACCGATCCTTGGGGAACGTTTGAACCTTTCTCACGAAAGAAAGAACCTCCATGATCGCTATGCTATAGCTGCTTATAAGCGCCTTCCGGGACAGCTTGCTGACTCAATCATTGGTCACTTACCCAGAGAGATCTCTAGGCCTACACGTTTTTCTCTTTTAAGAGGAGGGGTCTCTGTCGCTGAAGTCATAAATACAATGCACAGAAGATCACCGCTTGTACAAGGAGAACTTGAAATTCCAGTTAAAGTTGCGGTTGAAATCGAAGCCACAGCAAAGAACAGATTGATAATTGACAAATAAAAAGAGCTTGTGTTGGCTAATTATAAAGAGCCTGACCTAAATGGACATTTTGATGACTGCACGAAAGATGTTTTAAAAGAGCTACATGTACAAGAAGAAGAAATGAGTGATTCGGATGAAGAAAGTGCTGAAGTAGATGATAAATAGACTGATGACAATTACCATGTAGCTGTGAACGCAGTTAATCATTGATTAAAGCAATTATAAAAGTGTATTAAATTTCGCGTGTTTAATTTTCGCGTATCCTAATTTTAGCGAGTCTTTAATTGCGCGATTTGTAAAAAATCGCGAAAATCGCGAAATTAAAGCCTCGCGAAAATTAGTACGAATAAGGTATCAAATGAATCTTCACGACCAGCAAATCGACGACAACAAGTATCCTAGAAAGCACAAATTAGGAGGTTTTACTACTTTGCATATAAATAATCTCAATCAGTACAGTATGTTGCCCAGGGCTCGGTTGCATAAAACCTGCACTTAAGTGCTTACTTAAGTAGGTCACTTACGAATCCGTTGTGGGTACACTTACGGGTGTTGCATGGAACGCACTTAGCACTCTTGTAAGTTTCCGTTTTACGTGGTAACTTACGGACTGACTTAAGGGCACACGTAACCTTGAGTAGTAATTTATTAATGATTATTTTTCCTCAGTATCTACAGAAAATGATAGTTCTTCTTCTTTTTTCACAAAGTCGGCCTTTTAGTGTACATCAGAGGTTAACAAAGCGCATTAGAACGAATTACGTGAAGAAAACTACTTTTTTCACATCTCAGTAAAAGATCTCGTTAACTTTAGTAAAAACCGTACCGATATGGGACCCTCATAGGTCCCGTAAATTTACGTGCTATTTTTCCGTAAAAAAAGTTTTATGCAACACCCACAAATTCTGTTGCATAAACGACACTTACGTGAACACTTACGAAAATTGTAAGTGCACCCACTTAAGTGAATTCCCTAAGTGGACCACTTAAGTGATTTCATGCAACTGACTTAAGTTACCAGTGTACGTACGTATACCCGTAGTTGTTACGGACGTTTTATGCAACCGGGCCCAGTATCCGGACACTTCAGTTTAACATTTCAATAACTTTCCTTTGTTAGCCACAAGAGCTCTGAAATTTGCTCCAGAGAAAATCTGTTTTGTCCTTAATATGATGAAAGACGCTTTAACTTTTTTGCCTTTGTTTCGATCGCGAAATTAATATTTTTGTAGAGCTCCTATGTTGCCTAGTATCCGGACACACCAACAACAACGTAATTGAACATAAATTTCGATAGGCAAGCGACTTACAAGCTTCTCTTGGACTTGCAAAGTAGTCTGGCAATCGATTCCAAAAATATAAGCTATCACCATGAAATAAAACATAACAAATGACCGGGGTATGGTGAGGAACGCGGGCGGCTGTTAAATGGTATAATTCTTACTTCCTTGTCTAGGAACTTTTTCACTGACTATTTAAGGAAGGCATCCGTAGACATGCCGAAGCCGCGGTTTGCAAACTCGATTAGCCAATCTGCAAAACACTTTTTTTTCTTCATTTTTTATTTAAAAAAAGCTTGGGGTTGGGACCTCAATCCGACGGTCAAAGGTCACTCTCCTATTTAGTCTGACCTGGAGTGTTGATTTCCTCATGCTCAGTCCCCACAATAAGCCTGCTTTTCTAGCACTAATTCATCTTTCTTTCGCATCTCTCAATCCCTTTGTGACATTTTTTAGACTGTTGCAACCCCATTCTAGCAGTCACAACTGGGGAAAGTATGAGAATTCTAGGTTTAACTCCGACGCTTCCGGTTATAAATAGAAAATGTAGTCATAGCTATGAAATAAATCTTATCTGGATAATGTACACAGCTAATTCATCGATTCTGTACAGTAAAAAAGAAACTGTCTGGATAATGGGCACCTGACAACAATACTTAGAGAATGTTTCTGGCCTCAGTCATTCCAAACAAATCGAATTTCAAGAAGAATTAATAAACTTTCTGAAAACCTGACTTCTTTAAGTATCTTCGCTTTAAAAATAAACAGTTTCTTTGAAAACATCACATACTACCTACCCTTTTCTGAGCAGCACTAAGTCTATTGCACATTAAACAGCGTAAATATAGCCACAAACAGAACGGCGTCTTCTGCGACTGTTTCGCCAGCTTTAAGCTCACCAAAACTTTCATCTTTAAGCTGAAATGTTCAGCTTTCATTGGGAACACTTCGTTTACCAAGAACTGAAAAGGGCGCCTCAAAAACTGAGTTTTTGTTTTAAGTGTCCGGATACTGGGCAACATACTGTACAGAGATCGAGCTGATCTCACCATAAACATCGATGATTTAACAGAATCACAACTTGTTGAGATAGCAGCTAAACCAATTAACATTATTTTTGGCATAATTTATAGACCTATGAATAACAAACTTGTTAAGTTCAAGGAATGTCTTGCTGAGCTATTACAAAAATTGGACATGCAAAACAAAAAATGCGTCTTGATGGGAGACTTGATTTACTGAAACTCGAAGAAAACCACACTAAGGACTATAAAATTATTTTTTCATAATTTTACTCTTTAATCACAAGACCAACAAGAGTAACCAACACTAATACAACCCTGATTGATAATATATTTGTAAACAAAATAGAAGAGATAAATGTGGTATCCTTTTTACAGATCTCTCAGATCACTTACCAGTGTTCGTAACAATGGGTAACTTGCAAAAGCTCAACAGTCAAAACAATAATAAAAACAAATTTAGGTTATTTAATGATAAAACAATAAATCGCCTGTGTCAAGACTTGGAATGTGAAGATTGGATAGATGTGTACAGTAAAACGGATGCCCAAGATGCTTATGACCACTTTTACACAACATTGTGTCAGCTGTCGAATGAAAATGTACCATTAGTAAGACCTAGTAACAAGAGAAGTAAAAACGGCCAGAGAGTACCTTGGATAACAAAAAGAATCCTAAAATCAAGGAAAGCTTAAAATATATTATGTAAGAAGTTTATGAAGAACCCAAATGAAAAAAAAAGAGTCAATTCATAAAACATACCGAAATAAATTTAATAGGGTAAAGAGAGTAGCTAAGAGAAAGTACTATAACAGGGAGTTTAATGACCACAAAGGTAAGTTGAGAAACAGGAGGGCATTTTGTATGCGCATGCGTCAATATGGTCTGTTGAACAACCTCGTCCCCAGGGGTCCCTTTTGTCATGCGCTGGAAAAATCGGGACCCCTGGCCAATCGGGTTTCAGGGCCAATTCCTATTGGCTGTTGAAAGACAAAGGCGTAACAACCGGAAGTCCAGATAACCCAAAACATGGCAGAACCTCCGAAAACACCAACCAAGGCAGCAACCCGGGTTTGTCGAACCTGCAACGAAAACATAGTTGTGAAGAATCATCCTTGAGATTTATTTGGTGCAAAGGCATCACAAGAAAACATTCCTTCCGTTCTGGAAAGGTTCTTTGAGTTGAAAGTTGCGATGGGAATTTTTTTGAAAAATAGCGTTTTCGAAGGAACAACGAGAGTCAGAAGAGTCAATTTTACGTGTCAAAAGAGGGAAAACAACGGCAGAGAGTCCATCGTGAAGATCCCCGCAAACGAGACGTGACCAAAAGAAGAGCAGAACTTACGAAGAGGCACCTGCTAATGAGCCCCACAGCAGATGCACATGGACAAACCTTCGAAAACTCGACCACGGCCAATACTTCCTGCACCTTCATCAGAACGCGACGGGAAAAAACGAGAGCTTGCAAAGAGAGTTAAATCCTCAGCAGAGCCCTCAACGCTATCAAAACAAGAAGAAATCATGTCGGAGTCTGGTTTGCTGAACCCATTGGTATTTTATTTTCGCTAATACCATTACATATAAAGTTAGATTAGTTCTTGGCCGCTAGGCCCTTCAAGCTGTGATATCAAAATTGACATTTTCCTTACTGTTCTTCCAACGAGTTTAATATTCTCAAGCTGAAAGCAATATTTGCCATGGTATTTTTTTTCTCACATGCATGATACATGATCTGATACATATTTTTCTTTCTGGCTTTTTTAAATTTATATCAGGTCAAAGATGAGCCACTTTTGGAGGAGGGAACCAAAACTGTTGACACGTTGGCCACGCTGATGTTGACTGGATCCACAACCCATCAGACAACCAAAACCCCAGAGGTACATGCTGTTGAGGTTGATGTTGATGCCTATGAAGACATATTAGCCACCTTCGAGGTACACAATGTGAGGAAACAGAGCAATGATATTCTCTGGGTTGATTTGGATGTTGATGGTAAACCACCTAAGATGGAACTGGACACAGACCTCTACCAGCAGAAAATTAACAGGCTTCGCCTGCACAAAACTGGACTGTCCTTGAAAACCTACACTGGGGAAAACATTATGCCAGTAGGAGTGCTTAAAGTACCCATGGATTACCAAAACCAAAGAGAGGTGCTGGACCTGTATGTCCTCAAGAATAAGGGTCCTGTTCTAATGGGAAGAGATTGGCTACGTACCATACGCCTTGACTGGTGTTCTATCAAGTCGCTGCAGGCTTCACTAGCTACCTCAAGTCCTAAAGAGCGTTTGGACATTATGCTAGACAAGTACTGAGATGCTTTTGAAAATAAACGGGGCACCTTTACATCAGCCAAAGCGAAGTTAACTCAAGGCCAGACCGATGCCGTATGCATTAAAGGTGGAGGAGGAACTGCGGAGACTCCAGAATGAAGGTATTCCCACTACAGTGGAGTGGAGTGAATGGGCCACACCGATTGGGCCTGTCCCCAAGAAAGATGGTTCCGTCAGACTTTATGGTGATTACAAGATCACAGTGAACTACAAGCAGAGCAGTATTCTCTTCCTCGCATTGAAGACATCTTTGCAAACCTTGCTGGTGGGCAGAAATTCTCAAAGATTGACCTCCGCCAAGCATATCACCAAATAGAGATGGAAGAAGATTCAAAGAAATATCTCGCAATCAACACCCATATGGGACTGTTTCAGTACAA